CCTAAGCGCACACATTTATGTAATAAGACCTAAATTAGGTTCGAACAACATGCTAACGAGTTAAAAAAAATTTATTACTTCGGATGTCTATTTTTCTTCGAACATTCTACTTTTGATACGATTGTATGTTGTTACGTAAAACTTTACACAAGAGATTTAGGAACCCGTCTAGGATGTAATTTAGAAGATAAAGCAAAGGCGTGTCGGAAGTTAATTTTTAGCGCGATAATGAGTCGAAATGTAAAACAGCAAGTACACAGCAATGATTAACATACTATACAGTTGAAAGTCCTTACGTATTCTATGCAATTCCTCGATTTAAATGCAACGAGATACGTACGTTCTTGCTTAAAAACATTGCATATGCAGAGTTTGATGATGGTTCAAGACTATGCCACAATTGTGGGTAAATATAAAGAGGGCATGAGATAATATTACGGAAACAATAGGAACACTTTTATAAACATTACAGATACAAACTATGGGTAAACGTGATGATAAAAAATATTAAAAATTAATTCATTCGATTCAAATTATTCTCCGAAAGAGTCTTTAATATCATAAATCATATAGGGTGTGCTCTAAATATTTTACATTGCGAATAATTACGACACCATAAATCAGATTGACGAAGGTTTTTCTAACTGTTGTTACGTAGATTACGACAATGCGCATACAACATTTATAATTTTTAAAGCCGTTCGATGATCAGATTGCGTTCTTCAAATTGTAATCCCATATTTTTTCACATAATGTAAGATGTTTAATGTTTGTAGTTTCAAAAATATTAGTTGAAAGTTTTCAAAAAGTACTGTTTCCGGTTCGTATTTTTTGTTTGTTTTCTTTTTCATCGTATGGAAACAATGATTTTCGAGAGACATTAAAAATTACGAACAGAGTAAATTATTTATTCATATTATTGTAATCTACGTAAGAATAACGGAGCAAATAATTTCCAACTTATTTTGCATGGTCCACGATTTCGAAATTATTTACACCACGTATTAACAGAGAGTGTGAAAGCGAATTGTAAGGTATAGTTCACTAAAGAAGAAAAGGAAACGAGCGACTTATGATGTTTAATTTATATTAAAAATTTTAGTTAGTAACTAGTGTACTTGAATATTTAATTGCTAATAAATGACCATCGAGAAAATCCAGTATGTTTCTGGATGAGTTGAATAGTTTCGTGAATTTGGTAAAATAGTATGTGACTTTCTAGACTTTTAATGGACATGAAAAAATCTAATGATTTTAAAAAGATAAGGGATGTGTAGAAATGTATAATAAAATACAGTAATAAATAGTATTTTTAAATATTATATTATATTTATTTATAATATTATATTAATTTATAATATTATATAGAGTCTTTGATTATATAATATTAATATTTAAAAAATCGTGATTTTGCATTTTATGATGTGTTATCTAAATTCCACAACGGACAAATGAACGCTTAGGAACACGTACCAAAATTATAATTTCATACCATTTAGCGTTCCTTTATCTTAAATAAAAGTCTGTAAAGTTGTGCTCACTTATTATTTGCATATACTGTACACAAATAACAACATTAGCAGAATATAATTCGCTGTAAATATTTGAGAATAGTTTTAGTTTCTTTTAATTGTAAATACGACAGAAACAAAATTTCGACTTACGAACTAATAAATAATATTTGTCCATGTGTTCATGTAAACGTGTTTGTTCATACTTTTGTGGCGTACTGTATGCGTCTGCCAATATTCGTAGAGTTGTCAGTAAAAGTTCCTGTTATACATTCATTAACACTTCTTTCACTGTTACATCATGGTTCTCGTTTCTATCTTCGAGGAGATAATTCTAATTTCCACTCGCCTGATTGCCGTTTTGCTCTCATGTTGTACTTACAGGTACAACACCGTGCCTCGCCTCATGTAATTACGCTTTGTTAGAAAATTATTGCCTTCATTAATCACACTAATTATTTCCCAGAAAGACTATTTGCATTGTCGATGGAAACAATCACGGACTAATGCATGCAAATTACGGAATACTTTCATTAATTAGGCAGTAAAGCGTAATTTCAGTCTGCGTCTTCACAAATAACTAAAAGTAACCAACAATCGGTTTCCACGTGGGTTTCCTGCAGCTTCATGCCCCCCGACAGAAGTCTGTGACTGCGCAGGGAGAATTGAGCCGTTTATTTTGAAAGTGGCCTAAGAGTCCATTTGTTTTAAAATCCAAATATTTCAGGCATTCGCGTTTTAATAAATTTCAAAATATTAGGAAATTGTATATTTTTATATGCAAAGTAAAAATTATCTCCCTCAATGGCAAGAAATAGAAACTACGTAGCAACTTCGACCTTTTTCTTAATCATCTCAGTAGATTAAAAATAATACACTGACGTTAAATGCTTTTAATTTATATACTATTTTAAATTGTAACAACCCAATTTATTACGTTCTAGAAGCTTTGCTGATATGAAATTATATATAACGTAGAAACGTAAATATTAAAATAACTAGCTCGATATTTTTGGAAAATGAACTTAGTCCGCTTTCATAATAAGCGGCTCATTTGTTCAATAACAAAATACAAACTTATGAAAATTGATCACGAAGTAATCGCAGTTTTCGCTACCGGTTGATAGTGTTAATTAAGTGCTAAAATCATGCACAGTCCAATCAACAGCGCTGAATTACGTTGCAGCAAATTGCCATGAAATTTTCTACGTAGTTATTATTCGCTTGATTCTGTTTAATAGGCTTTTATTGCAGGCTGCAGAAATCCTCGCGTGTTTATCTCGCGCGTACCTTTCTCATTATTCTTCTAAACACTAGGTTACTCATTCGTTCCACGTTGTTCTACATACGTTACCCGTCTTATCCGCGCTTGTGAAAATTTGATGCGCAAACAAACACACTGATACGGATTGCGCGGTTGCCTACCAACATTGGCGAAGCAATTCCTGTTTTCTACGTTCGAGGGGCAATTAAAGCCAAGGTTTTTCACCGACTTATTCCACTTAACTAAAATGAGGCGGAGATTTAAGATAGAACGAAGTTCAACGCGCGCACTGATTTAAAAATGTTACAATTACTTAATCTGTGAACTCGGATACGTATAATTATTAATTATGCTACGCACGAGACTCCATAAAAGTCTGAGTAACAGTCTGAGATTTTTGACACTATTTTTATCGATCTTTTCGGTACGTATTTTTGTGAAATTAATTTTATAACAATTTACAGGAAACGTTGGCAAGTAAATTTGTGAAATAGAGATTTTTAGGAAATAATTAATATAATGTATATTATGTTATATTAT